CTTCATTTTGCTGCTTGAATTGTTCCACCTTCAACCACTGGAAGCTCTTTCATTTGGCCCCTGCACCCCTGGGGCTGACATACCCCAGTTACTTTCTCACACTGTAAGGGGTTCCAGGCATATCCTGTGTAATTCTTGTTCTAGTCCTGGAATCAGCCATTTCTCCCGGGGTCCTTGATTCCTTTCATTAAAGAATGGTATCGGAACCAAGATACGGGCACGGGATGTGCTCATGGCTGTTAGTGTATCATTTCTTGTAGGCCCTCTCAGCTGACCAAGCAAGGAAATATACGTGTGTGTATTAACCCATTATGTACATGTATCTACAAGTGTTTCTACATATAGCCATCTGTATGACATTAAATAAAAGTTTATCCTGATATCTCCAACTCTGATTCATGAACACATGGATCATTCTAGCGCCCCCCGCCCCATCCTTACTTGGAAATTCCCACACCAACAGTGGGAAATGACCAGCATTTGCTTAATTGTTCACCTGGATAGCAGCGTCAGAATGCTTAACCTGTATGCCCACGGGAAACAACTGCAGCCGTTAGAGTTCCTTTTACCTTTAGTCTTATGGGACTCCATTCATTTCCAGAGTTACATAGGTCAAATTTTCCCCATTCTCCTCTCAGTGAGATTTTTTAAATATGTTTGTAGTTCAGTAAGATTCTCTTTTCACAGTGTGCCTTCTTTTCTGGGATTCACCAACCTCCTAAATGATGTATTTTTATTTACATACATCAAATTTCACTCTCCATACTATAAAGTTCAGTGACATACCTGAACAAATGTTTCGGTCATCCTGTAATAACAATTATAAGAAAATTATTTTCTCATAGCCTGTATATAAAAGTGATCCAGGGGCGCCTGGATGGCTCAGTGGGTTAAGCCTCTGCCTTCGGCTTGGTTCATGGTCTCAGGGTCCTGGGATCAAGCCCCATATCAGGCTTTCTGCTCAGCAGGCTCTCTGCTCAGCCCTCTCTCTGCCTGCCTCTTTGCCTACTTGTGATCTCTCTCTCTCTTCTGTCAAATAAATAAAATCTTTTTTAAAAAATTACTTCTTTAAAAAAGAAAGTGATACAATGCTGAAGTTATTTTTCAAATTTTAGAAAGACAAATTATTATTTTTCAGGATACTTTAAACATGGCAATAATTATTCTCATAGCTGATTGATCATCAATTCATAAAAGAGCTATCTCTTGGCAATGAACTTGAGTGAAATGTTTGCTAGGGTTATTAAACAAAGCCTTTGTTGACTTATAAAACATTTACTGGATGTCACCTGCCTGCCAGGCACAGTGCTTGGCACTGAGGATACCAACAGTACTGAGATCTGATCATTGCGGGACTGTGTATTGAGTGCGTGATTAGAGGCATGTAGAGGATAATGTGGAAGCAGAGTGGAGAGCCACCTATACAATACCAATGGGGCTGGGCTGGAGTTTAGGAGCCTGGACTGTAGTTTAAAGGATGAGGTACCCAGAGGGGGGTAGAGAATGTAAAAGAACCATTCAGGAAGAGAAGATAGACTAAAGTTGCCCAAGCATTTTGGTAGCATGATATGTGTAGGAAACTACTAGAAGGCACATCTTGTTCAAGTTAAAAATGGAAGGTAGGTTTTGTTGAAACCATAAGCTAGAGAAACAGGCAAGGACCAGATAAAAGAAGACTTGTAAGCCACAGGTTTATCCTATGGTTAACTGGGAGCTCCTGAAGTTTGAAAGCCTGACATGGTCAGGGGAGCAAAGAAGGATGGAGTGGAAGGGTCAGGAATAGTAGACAGACAAGAGGTCAAATACCCAAAGTACCAAAGAGCAGTCGTTGAACTTGAGAGCTAAGATATGACTTAAGGAGTTTCCTTGAGATGCTAGAAGTCAAGTATAGAGAGCAACAGTTTGAACAGTGAACCTTAGTATTTGAAGGAAGGTATCACGCCTTTTAAAAAGAATTCTGGGAGCGCTTGGCTGCCTCAGTTGGAAGAACCTGAGACTTCTGATTTCAGGGTTGTGAGTTCGAGCCCCACAACAGGTGTAGAGATTGCTTAAATAAATAAATAAACTTTTTAAAAATTTTTAAAAAATCTGTAGAGAGGTGATTTGGAACATACAGAAATCTGTAGGAATTTTCCATAATCAAACACTGTTATTGGTAACAGAAAAATTAATGACGTTGTCAAATAATACAAGGTACACAGAATGAGCAAATATGTATAAAAGGTTCATAATAAAATAGGCCAATTGTACACACCAGAAAAACCTTAAACTATCTAAGAGAAATTGCTCACCATTCTAGACAATTGACCAAGGAAGAAATACAGATTATTGTATTTTATTCATTCAATAAGGACTATTACTAGTAGAAATGATACTTTTAAAAACTCAAAACAGCACAAACTGTTCACCATAAAAATTTATCAAAAATGGAACAATTTTTGGTCATAAAATTTTAAGTATAAAAATGGACCTGGGAAAAAAATAATCTCAGTAAAAATATTGAGCAAGAGGTCAAACTGTCGGTGGCTCACACTATGCCCTTTGTAAAACTTGCTATTGACTAAAAATTGACAGGTGAATCAAATCTTCTTAATAAAATTGACACCTTTAGAACCAATCCAGACAAACTGTACTTGGTAGAAGTAGTGACCGCAGAATCCTTTGAAAGATATTATGGATTACAATTTTGATTGGCTTACTAAATCTTTGTTATAGAATCTACATAGTAAAGAATTGGATCCTATGATGATAATTTTACTTTCATAATAATGAAAACAAATAAATTGGCAAAGAATTTAACTGAAGCATATTGAAAATTGATCCAGGAATTGTCCTAATGGAGTTAGTTCTAGAAAATATCTTTCTTATGAAAATTTCACTCATATTGGCATATTTGGTTAAATGGGTAGAATCAAACATCATCAGGGTAAAAAAATATGTAAGTGGGCCAAAATATCTTTGATCTTTGAACTCCCATGAAACTCTCTGATGGTGGAAAGGAACTCAGTTGCACACTGTCAGCCTGGTGGTGGCTGCCACCATCCATGTAGCTTCTGACAGAGGCAAAGAATGTCTCAGTGAAGAAGGGAAGTGACCCCCTTCCTAGAAGGCATTGGCTCTTTATAAATGCTTCATTTATTGACTTATTTGTATCACACAATCTTGTGTGGTGTGATAAACAAGCATTGAAGGCAGCTTTAAAAACATACATACAAGGTAAAAGAAAATTTCAAATAAATGAGCGACAACATCACAGTTTTGACAACTATTCTGACTGACCAGTCTAGCCGAATGTCAGGCATTCATTGCAGTGATTCCTTTTACCATGTCTCTGGGACACTATTAATGTCTCCTTTCTGGGAATACAGTATTGAAATTGCTTCTTTGGAATTTCTTCCCAAACACATCGGTTCTAAAGGAAATTTAGATTCATTCAATCCACTGCTCCTGTTAGTAGTTTTGGCATAAGTGTCTTGCTATGCATTTCTTTTTTTTTTCTTTTTTTTTTTTTTTTTTTTTTTTGGTGTGGACTCATCTTATCTTCTCACTTCTTTGTTTGGATCTTTAACATTATGTCTTCTCTGTCCCAGAGATGTCAGAAATCTGGTGTGTTTCTTCTTTCTTGAGTTGAGTGTTTCCTCAAATGTTTGGATTTTGATAGGATCTAGGAGACCAGAAATGTGGTTTTTTTTTTTTTAAATACTTAAGAAACAATTAAAAAAAAAAGAAACAATTAAGAGAACAAAATGGTAAAACATATAATTAAAATACCTAATGAGAGAAACAAGCCTTGATGCCTTTTTTATTTTAATAAACCCGCACTAAAAGAGAGGCAGCTGCGGGTGTCTGGGTGGCTCAGTCAGTTAAGCGTCTGCCTTCAGCTCAGGTCATGATCCCAGGGTCCTGGGATTGAGCCCCGCATCAGGCTTCCTGCTCAGCCAGGAGTCTGCTTGTCCGTCTGCCCCTCCCCCTGCTCATGCGTGCACTCTCCTTTCTCTCTCTCGCGCAAATAAATAAATAACATGTTTAAAAAAATAAAAATAAAATAAATACAGGGTATCATTGAGGCCCACATTGGAAACTGAAATCCTGTGGACGAACCATGTCACCTACCTGGTTCTCAGTTTTCCTTAATGATAGATATGTTCTGTGCCCCAGGACACATGGAAAACATCAGTCTCTGCTCTCAGGGCGTATGTCAAGGTCCTGTTACCTTCTCCGTTACATCTTAAATGCAAGAACAAGCTGGAAACGTACACCACAGTGTGGAGTCATTAGAGAGGTTTTAAAAAGTATTGCATATTGGTAAACAGCCTAGCTGATGGACGTCCTGGTAAGCCAGAATGCCCTTCATTGATATTTCTTATCCATAAATAGTGGAAAACCCATTTATCAAACAATTGTGTGTTGCACTCCTTTCCGCTCTGTGCCTAGCTCTACCCTAGGTATACAGCAATCCGCAGACAAGACTGCCCTCACAGGGGTTATGTTCTAATGAAACAGAAGGCAAAAGTCACAAGAGACTCTAAAAGATACAGAGTCACAAACTGTGGTGAGAACGAATAGGAACAGGAAGGAGGGCAAAGAGAAAGAAGAGGGGTTGGTGGGGTAAGACCTCGATGCTGAGAGAAGCCTTCTCAGGGGAAGTTATCATTTAAGATGAAGTGTGGATACTTCAGTAACAGTATGAGAAAGGCAACCAGCCAAGAGCCAGGGTGGGAGACAGTTTTCCAGGCAGAGGGAACAGCATGTGCAAAGTGCAGGTCAAGGTAGCCTGCTGGTGGAAGAAGGAGTAGGGAGGGCTTGGAAACCCTGCGGAGCCTAGCAGGCAGTTTCAGGCAGTTTCATCCTTAGAGAGTTGGAAGCTTGCTCACGAGGGCTGCTGCACAGAGAGCAGGCGGGGAGGGGATGCTGCAGAAGCGGAACGCCTGTTCAGGACACCCAGAAACCGGCATTCCCTAAACATACATTGGTGTTAATATCGTTCCTTCCCATCTCAGACCCACAGGAGCCCCGGGGAACACAGAGCAGTACAATGTGGGAATGGTCGGCACTCACGGGCTGGAGACCTCTCACGCGGACACTTTCAGCAGCAGTATTTCAAGAGAAGGAACCCTGATGATAAGAGAGGTAAGTTGGTATAAAAGCTGTGCAGAGGAAGTGCATTTCTTGAGTAGTTTCGATATTAGAGCTTTCGTAGAGAATGCTTACGATGTGTAGTATAAGCCTTGTGGATGGGGCTGGGCGGGGGCACCAGCGCTTCTCAATGGCTGAGTGATTTTAATTGTCCACCGCCTCCTTTCCTGTATCCTTCTAAGCTTCTGCAGTGTGATTTAATTACATTAGTCCAGATTCTTCAGTAGGAGCTATGCAAATCGGAATACAGAATTTGAGCCTGAGGATAGAAAACTGGCAAACCCAGATGTTTCCTACAGCAGGAAAACAGAAATGAATGATCTCGCTCAGCAGTATCCGAGGCCTTGTTATGCTTCCTCCCCTCCTGGCTTTATCCTTGTGGATATTATGTAGAAAATGCTTATAAGTTCCAAGAAATGGTGATTTCATCTTATCTAATTAAGTCAACATTAAAAAGGCTATTAAGCTATTTTGATGAAAGAACAAAGAAATATGCAATCTACTTGGAAATGTACCTTGCACTATGTAGGACTATGTTTTTTTAAACTTGAGGCACATCATTTCATTGGGGGGTGGGGGGGTTTGTCCTCCCACAGGCAGCCCGTCCCCACGGCACCTGTGCCAACGGGAAGGGCCTTGACAAATCAGAATTTGTCTTCTCTTCTCTCTCACTTCACTGTCATCATGCAAGTTTGACACCAAGTCTTTGCCTGGGAGGAAAATAATGGCTGGTAACATCGGGCAAAAATGACTTGATGTCTCCCTGTGTCCATGTTATCATCTATAAAATTTCATAAACAATAGGAGATGACTCATAAGTTGACCGGGAGGATTCAATGAGTTAACACGTGTAAGCATTCAGTTAACGTAAACACAGTGGACTCCCGAACAACACAAGTGATAAGAACCGTGTGGATCCACTTACACATGGATTTTTTTTTCAATACGGTCTCATTCTGTAACTGTATATTCTTGTCCTTAAGATTTTCTTAATAACATTTTTCTTTTTTCCAGCTGACTTTATTATAAAAATACAGTATATAATACATATCCAGAATATGCGTTAATCAACTGTTTACGTTATTGATAAGGCCTCCGGTCAAGAGTGGGCTACCACAATAGTGAAGCTTGGGGGAAGTCAAAAGTTTGATTCGGATTTTCAGGGGCCCCAGGGGATGGGGAGGTGGTCAATGCCCCAGCCCCTGTGTTGTTCAGGGATCAACTCAATATTATTTTATCTCCCTGTCACCACAGAATGGAGTTCTTCTGTTACTGGTTATCACTCCCCACTCTTGCCTCTGAAACAATGTATATCATCTGTCATTCTTTAGCCAGGAGAGTTTGGGAAACCATCAGAGCAGGCTTTGCTCTCCCAAGAAAGAAAGGAACTGTAGTTTTGAGATGAATAAGGCCTTTGAAATAATAATTGGCAGTCGGGCTGTAACTGGAAGAGTAGTTCACAAAGCAGCTTGCTAGAATCTCATTATATGGCCTTGCTGAATCTTTGAAGTAGGCTTTAAAGAGTCCTATCATGTAAGCCTGAACTAAGAAATGGACTTGGCTGCCACAGTTGACATTATATGGCACTGGCATCTAAATCTCCCAGCGCGGTGAGTGGAGAATCCCAATGCAGGTGTGCAGTGCTGCTATCACTCTCTCTTGCTACCTGGAAAACTTGAGGGAAAATGTTCCAGGGTGAGTTACTCTCTGACTCTAAATAAAAGAACTCTGATTTCTAACACAGTTTACAGTTTGCTTGAGTCTTTAAGACAGAGTCAGTACTTGGGAGATTATCAAGAGGCACATTTTCACTTCAGTTACCAGACATATCCAGAAGGCTCCATGTTATTTAAAGCACTCCAGTATTTTATGGCCACAGCCAGTCACTTTGAAAACAGCACTTGCCAGTGTCTTATATGAATTTGATCTATGGAGGGCCCAAAATCTTTTGTCTCTCAGTTTCTAGAATTCCACCTTTGCCAAAAGTGGACTTTTAAAATAACAAACCTTGAGTTGGAATCCATTAAAGGAACAGGTGTTAAAAAGTTGAATGCAAATAAAAGTATGTCCCTGACAAAACAATAAGAAAAGAAAAACTCACCATAGAACTTAGCTTATAGGGTGTTCTCATTCAGTTCCCCAAGGTGGACATCAAGGAGAACTCACTTATGTCCGCATTCTCACTCGAGTGGACAAGATGGTTCTGGTGGATACTGGCTCTATGACCCACTGTCTTGCCAAGATGCACAAATTTAGTGCATACCCAGGCCCCCTGGTTTTCTCTCCCTATCCTATGACCCTATAGGACCTTTCCCTACTCAATTTCTAGAACCCACCTACACCAGCTGTCGTCTCCCACTTTGTCCATAGAGACCCATCTGCCAGAAGAGCTGTTCTCCCTTCCTCACTACCTCCACTGCCCACTTCTTACCCAGCAAATTCCTATGGGTCTGGCTCAGCCTTCCCTTTCTCCTTGAGACCTCTCTGGGACTCCATGGGCCTCTGTCTATAGCATCTTTCTTACTGACCAGGTGGTAGTAGGAAGTAATTAGAAAAATAATCCATTTAAAACAACTTAAGGAGGGGGAGAAAATGTGGGGGATGTATCAGAGATAGGGGCATAAAAATTCAGGGGTGTTTCATACAAGGAATCCAAAGGCAAAGAATAAGTTGGGACTCTGTGCAGGGTTAGAACCAAAAACTAAAAAGGATCAGGAGTACAGGCAGCTTTCATATACCCATCTCTGGCTCTCTCACTTCCTGTCTCTCCTTACCCTCATCTCTGCTTTCCTCGATGCCTGTCTCTCCTTTGCCTCACTTCTCTTTCCTCCAATTGCTCTTTTGTTCTTTCTACTCCACAGACCTGCTTTGTCTCCATCTACATGCACGAGCTCTCACTTTTCTCCCTCCCCCACCCATCGCAAGATAGGGACCACATCCCACCCAGTTCAGCCATCCAGCAGAAACCGACCAGTGTCTCTCGGCCCCAGCATTAGATGCAAAAGGGAATTTGATTCTGTGTGGTTCAGGTGTCTACTCCAGGTCTGATCAGCTACGGCCGAGAGCAGAGCCACGTCGTGTGAGAACAGCCCAAAACACCTGGGCTCTGCCACCAGGCCGCCCCCGACTGCAGCCCTTAGAACCCGTGCCACTTGGAGCAGGTCAGCTGAATTTTTGCAGTGCACTTTTTCCAGCTGTGAAATGAGGATAATGAAAGCTAACCCATGGAGTTATCTTAGGGACTGTGTGGAATACTGTACCTAAAGCGTTTGGCACCGTCCCAGATACATGTTGTTGGTCGGAACATCTTGGTGTCCACCCCCATGGGAATGGTGAGGCTGGAAAGACTATAGAAATTGCTGGGCTCTGCAGGGAGGTCCTGGGAGGCAGGGCTGTTCATTTATCTGTGCATTCCCAGCAGAGTGCCTGGCACACAGAAGGTATTTAACTCTGAGCTGCTGGCCAAATGGATAAAATGATTGGCGTGGGGAAGATTCAGGGCTCTCCCCGGATTCCTTCAGGCTTCTCACTGTCTGGGGCTTTTCCCCGTGTTAGCCTCTTTGGGATCTTTGATAAGCAATGTGTCTGCATCCGTTTTTGGCTTGAGGCAGAATGCTGGGGCTGGAACCGAGAACCCGTGAAACTCTAAAGAGATACCATGTGTGATTTATGCTACTGGGAGATTGGGGAGAAATGGTTAAAGGAAAAAAAAAAAAATCCTCTCAGTATTTGAACAGAAGTTAGAAGGAAGGAAAAGCTGCCCAGTATACATAAAATTGGAGACATTGAGATGAATCAGGACTGAACCCCATAAATGTCATTTAGAAGAAAAAGCATTCAGTGCTGAGAACAGGCACTAGTACCTGGATGAGCCCCGGGGCAGAAGGAATCCAGGAACTACCCCTCGCTGGGGCAGCCTACAGGCCAGGAGTGTGCTACCAAGAAACAGATCATGCCCCTGCTTTCCAGATATTTCTCAAACTCCGTGGCAACACCCATTACATGCATCCTTTCAGGAACTTGGGAATCTGTTTCATCATCTACATCCACCCGCTCCACCGCCCCCCACCCCCGCCGCAAAAAAATGTGCCTCCTTTCACTTTTAGCCAGAAGCAGGTACTGAGTGGTTCTTGCAAGACCAGGACAGGATCTGGAAGGGGGAAATCAGGCCAATGAGCCCATGCCAGCCATCAGAGGAGTGCTTCTGCCTGCCCCACTCCTGGCTCTTTCCACCATGTTCAGCAAAACACGTCACACTCCGTAGACACTCAGAAATGTTAGGTGAATGAATGAATGAAAGCAAAGGCAAAGAAGGGACTCCTTACGTAGTCACGTCTGCTCTAAGAAACCTCAGGGAGCTGGTCGCCTAAATGTTAAGTCAGGAAGCACAGTACTAGCCAGGCCTACAGTGTGGGCACTGGCTTTTAGGAAGCAGAGTTGTCTTTTAATCCTGTATCTCTCTTCCCTGGGGTTTTTGGGAGGAGGCTTTACTCTCCAGAGCAAAGATTTCCTAACTTGCTAACAGGTATGCTAACAGTAAAAATTTTAGAGCATGCCACATAATCACAATGTATTTTTTTTTTTTTTAAGAGGGAGAGAACCCACACATAGGAGTTGGGGGAATGGGGGAAAAAGCAGAGGGAGAGAGAGAGAGAATCTTAAGCACGATGTGGGGCTCGATCTCACAACCCTGAACCGAAATCAAGAGTCAGACTCCCAACCGACTGAGCCACCAGGGGCCCCATAATTACACTGTATTTATTTATAAATGATGCATGTGTTCTACTATACATATTATATGTTTTTTTAAAAACACCTTAAAGGACATTAAAAAGGAATGCTATAAACAATATTTCAAATGCTTTGCTAGTCATGATGACTTCCATTTTTTACTACACAGCACTATAATCGCTTATGAGAAATTCAAAATTAATACCGGACATAAACCCATAGTTTCATATACTCTGTAGATTATTTCAGTACATTTTTTGGTAACTCCTGTCAGATCTGATTTATTCATCATTGTTTTGACCTCATTATTGATAAATAGCCCTGTGGGTCTGGTTGATATCATCTCTGCATTTTCTTGGGTTACATGGTACATGAATGGATTCTTAACATTATCTCGCCCAACCTTTTCATTTCAGCAATATTTTAGGTCATGTGTGTGTCTTGTGGATTTGTGTCTTGTGATCTGGTAATATAATCTGCAAGCCCAGGTAACTGGTGTGCTCACAGGCACACACATAAATATGGCAGAATGAGACAGTGTGGATGCGGACCTCGGGTGCTCTGCCCCTCCACCTGCGTCCGGCATTCCTGTCTTTCCCAGGGAACCCCCACTTCCTGTGTGGCCCTGAAGGCCCCTCACACAGAAGCAAAAGGCCCCATGGTCAGTCCATATACTAAACAGTAGCGAAGTTTAACTTCTTTATTTTCTTAGTAAAACAGAAATGTGAATGTTATCTTCCCACAGACCCCCGAGGGTCCATTTGAACACCATTGTGCCTGTGTTGTGTGGAGGGTGACATTGCTCTGTGGTCTTTGCCTTCCTTCTCTAATCCCTATCTAATGCTCCCCATGTGTTGTGTCCCCTCAGACGTCTGGAGAGAAGAAGCGATCTGGCCACAGTGACAGCAATGGCTTCGCTGGCCACATCAATCTCCCAGACCTGGTACAGCAGAGCCACTCCCCAGCCGGGACACCAACTGAGGGCCTGGGGCGCGTCTCCACCCATTCCCAGGAGATGGAATCTGGGACTGAAGTAGGTGCTGGGCAACAGCCTCAACAGTTCTGTTCTCACTGGGTTGGGGGAGGGGAGGGATGGGATGTGGGGAGCCGGCTTCAGGAATGAGGCCTCGCTAAGCTCCCTGAAATGTGTTTAGTTGGTTTCTATTATATAACTACTTCTACAAATACTTTAATAGGGGAAAATCACAGAAGCACAGCAGTAACTATTATCAGATATCATCTGGCCCCAAACCTATTTTTACAGATGAGAATATTGAAGCTCAGAGAGGTTAAGTGACTTGCCCAAGGCACACAGCTGGTTTGTGACAGATTTCTGTAGAACTGGGATTTCCTATCCCCAGGCCAGTGGTAGAAACTTCAGCCTGTAGAGATCCCAAGGCCAAGTTGAGGTTCATGTTTACATCAATTGAGTCAGACTAAGTTGGACCTAAAATGAGGTTGAAATTATTTGTTAAATGAAAGATAAAAAATCAATAGATAGGTTCTCTGAGCATTCCTCTTCCTGAACTCCAAATTGCATGAAAAAGGGAGAACTGAGAAACTATCTTTCCCATATAGAAATAGTCCCCGGAAGTAGCGTGAATAAATCCAGTCGGCTAGGCAGTGCTCGTAGGGGTGGTTATCCAGGCTTGAGCGGTGGAGGAGTCCGTGGTGCTTGGTCATTGCCGCACGAATAGTCCCTTGAGTCACACGGACACCCTGAAGCTAATGACAAAGCTTGCGCGGTGGTGTTTTTGATACTGTCCACGTACTTTTTATGATACACCCTTTGGATTCTAAAGCTGTTGAGCAGACAAGCTTTGTCTGCCCCAAGGGAAAGAGCACAGAGGTGCTTTGCAGGGTGCACCATCTCCTCTTGTGACTTCACGTGGTGTGGACAGGTGTTCTCTGCCTGAACACCTCTCGCAGGACCAGAAAGAGCCCCAAGGGATTGGACTCTGGTTCAGATTCTGCTGCTGCTCCAGCTCTGAGTGGGAGTATTAGTACTCTCCCCACCTCCTTCACAGACCTCTTCAAAAGATCGAAGGAGAGAACGTATGTGAAAGTTCCAAGAGGAGCTGGACTGTATGTTCGGGATAAAATGCTGTCGCGTGGACATGCTTCCTTAGTTGGTTGCCGGTGGGGTCCGCTTTCCTTCAGATCATGTGGTCAAAATGAGGTTGTTTTTACTTCAGAGGAGAGATGAGCTCTGTCACCGCGGTCATCTTTACCAGATGGCCCCAAATGTAATTTGCTCACTGAAGCTCTTACTGTCTGACGATTAATGGGGCCCTCGCAAAGGCACATGGTGAGTAACCAGCCGAGACCAGGAGAAGTGGAGAGAGAGGCACACACTTGGACTCGGGGGTTAGAGTGTGAACAGCTGAACAGATGGAAGAAGCGATTATCATTTTAAAGCCCAAGTAAAATATTCCTGGCATCGTTCATTCCTATAGTGTTTATTTATCTGCTTTTCTTAATCCTCTTGCATATTGGTTAGTACGGCATGGGGAGCAGCACTAAGGCCTCCTTCACCCCCTTTGTGGACCCCAGAGTGTACCAGACATCTCCCACTGATGAAGAGGAAGAGGATGAAGAATCATCAGCTGCGGGTAAGCTAGAAGGCCTGGATGTTTTAGAAACAGCTTAGGTTTCCTTTCTGATAAGATCTGATAAAGAAATGAATTATTGGTCCTGTAGTTAAGCCATTTTCTGCTTAGGTCCTGCCTTAAAGGAAGCTGGTTTTTGTTTTGTTTTGTTTTTATTTATTTTTTTTTTTCCATAGGATTTCTAAAACAATTTCTTTCTCTCCATTTTTTTTTTCCCATCTCTTCTATTTTGCTTCTGGTAGGAACCCAGAGGTATCCAGGGGCCCTGGGAAAAGCTGTTCCTCAGAGACCTCCAAACTTACCACATACTTCTCAAAAGCAATTTCTGGGTACAATGCTGTGCACGCAGTAGACACTTAATAAGTGCGTGTTGAGTTGTGTTGGGTTCTAGGTGTGTGCTTCCTATTGCCCGGGACTGTCTGCTTTAGGGCAGAGTCCTGCTTTCTGGACTTATGCAACTCACTAATCATCAGGGGAAGCTTAGGCCAGTTTGTCAGTTGATGAGATAGGATTTTAAAAAATACATCTTCCTATGTATGCTGTAGTAAATGGTGTGTTCAGTTTTGTGAGATGAATATCTATTTTCTAAACTACCCAAGTCATATCCATAAGTCTGTTTTACTAATGGATAAAATACTGCTTCTGTGAACGACTTACACTGTTTTCTACTAAAAAAAAAATGTATAAAATGTGCATAGTTGCAGAGTTGCCCTGCCTTTTCTATAATGCCCACTAAACAAGGAGAAATTATAGCGTTTTGACGTGCCTTCTCCATATCACTACTGGTTTTTTAATATACCACTGACTTCTCTGATTCTTTTTTTCAAAGCTCTGTTTACTAGTGAACTTCTTAGGCAAGAACAGGCCAAACTCAATGAAGCACGAAAGATTTCAGTGGTAAACGTAAACCCAACCAACATTCGACCTCATAGCGACACACCTGAAATCAGAAAATATAAGAAACGATTCAACTCGGAGATACTCTGTGCAGCTCTCTGGGGTAAGTGCTGCTTTTTGCCATTCATTAATAAATTGACCCTCAAACCTTAAAACCCGGTGGAGCTTACCATCCAGAGAGCAGTGGTTGAATCACGGCGGTCAGAGTTCCGACTCAGGACTGTCTTGGCCTCAGGAGAGATCCAGGAGCAGTTTTACATGTAACAAGAGCTGATACCCTCACTCCCAGGACAACAAGATCAGATTCAGAATGACCTCATCACATAATCATGGTGGGCTAAAGTCAGTAAGAGAACGAGCTGCCACTTACCACACACAGACTACGTGCCCAGCACTGTGTGATATGCCCGCACTCAGACTGTGATCCTCTTGTATCCTGCAAGGGGAGGAAGAGCGTCACCCCCAGTTCACAGCTAGCATCTTTGAGTGAATTTATAAAGACTAGTAGTGGCAAGATAAACCTTGAAAAGGACAACAGATGATGAACTTTCCCTTGTAGTTCAAACATCAGCCTGCAATTCCTGTGGAAATGATGCCTAGGTTTTAGCTGACCTCAGGCTCAGTTTAGGTGGGGCGAGATTCTATCCAAGTCCTGGCCTGTGTTACTGCAAATGTCATATACTGACTAAGGAAGCGTGTGGCCCATCTGTATCCATCTAAAATAGCAGGCCTAGTTTGATGGAAGGAGTAAGGCTCTGTCCTCTGGAGAAGAGACAGGAGGCAAGATGGCCATGTTTACTATGCAATAATTTATGGACAAAAGAACAGACATTTATGTTACTCAAAAACTAGATGTACAAAAGCAAGAGAAGATAGAGAGTTACCTATTCATGAACATAGTCCGCGACACAGTGGCCCTCAGTGTGCATGTATGCAGGCATGTTGCAGGTCAGGTGGGGGTTAATTTGCAGCAATTTTTAGGATGGCAGCTATCCAACAAAACCACTTACCTGCTAGAAATTTTGTAATAGGGATAAGTGCATGGGAGATGGGCTGGACCAGATTTAGATACCTGAGTGGTCCCTTACAGCCCTGTGACTCTCAGGCAATTAACACCTTCACTGGCATTGGCTTGTCATTTCCCTGACAGCAGAAGCTTGAGCGTATGAGACATATGTAAACTTTAGTGTGAGGAGGAGGAAAGGCTTTTCTTCCAGTGAGGTATGGAAATGGGGGCACTCTGCTGTATGTTGAAGGTAGGTGGCTAGAAATCCGTGCATGAACAGGGGTGGGGATGAACCTTGGGCAAGTCTTGAGGTGGGATTTATAGAGAGAGCCAGGACAGCCATGGGTGTTACAGGAAAGGAATAAAGGCTAATTGTGCTGGTGTAGAAGCTGTGCCCAAGGCTTCTCGGGAGAAGGATTCTATATAGCAGACAGTACCCGGCTAGAGGTAATGAATGCCGCTACCACTTTATAAAAGAAGACTAATCTTGTTACCAGAGGGGCAGTGATTTAATTACTACAGCCAAGCCTCTACTTCTTTACTCCCTACCGTAGTACCTACTTGCCCATTAGTTTATAGTAACAAGACACAGTTTCTTAGGTTTCACAGGGACCCCAGATACAGAAAGGCTGAAGCATATAAAAAGTCAGTCTTGGGGTGCGCCTTCAATTTGCAGGTGTGAACCTCCTGGTGGGAACAGAGAATGGCCTGATGCTTTTGGACCGAAGTGGGCAAGGCAAAGTCTATAATCTGATCAACCGGAGGCGATTTCAGCAGATGGACGTGTTGGAGGGACTGAATGTCCTAGTGACGATATCAGGTATGTTACTGGGATGTTGCTGGGAAGACCGAGACCTCCAGGTCTGCACAGGTAGGAAAGGCCATCACCTCAGTTCTGAAAAACTGTCCTCTCTGGCTGACAGTGATACGATAAATTATAGCAGTGTAGCCAGAGTGAGATCACCCCTGTTTTGTGACTCTGGAGATACTGACCTCCGAAAGGAAAACCTCTCACCTCTGAGCTCACCTCGCGATCTCTGAATCAGGCAGATGGACCACAAAGCCTCTGTGTTTATAGGCCTTTAACCTCTCCCAGGACTTAGCAAGGATCTTTTGAAGCCTGAGCTCTAGTACCTACTCCCGGGTGGAGAACATCAAAATGTAGGCTTCACGGAGTGGAAAATTTTGTAAGCAGAAACTTCTCTGGTCTCTTTTCTCTCAAGAACTGTTCTAGCTTATACTCCATTGGCGTCTCAGCAAGCGGAAGCTGGCCCTTTGGGTGACTGAGTTTGCAAAGAGATTGGGGTGTGGGAATCATAACCACTACACTCTGCAGCTCTCTGGTTCCCAAAAAAAGCACTTTAAAGAAATATGGACACAGAAGTGAAGGCCTTTTTACCGACAAGTTAACAACATAATCAGAAAGAGTCTGTATTTATTGAAAGTTCTTTGCTTTCTGATGATGTTTGAAGGAGTTTAACAAACAATATCCCTTTTTTTCCCCCGCCTTCCCGTCCCATCCAGTATGAAACCACCATACCTCTGCACATTAGAACCGCTTGAATGGATAGGAAGAACCCAGGATGCACCCAGGTGTGGGTCAGAATTGCTGGGAGTAGGGCCCAGGGATCAATAGCTCCCATAGTGCCCGAGGTATTTCTAATGTGCAGCCAAGTTTGAGAACCACGGCTCTCTACTGAGCCATTGTTTCACAAAGGGAAAACACAAGGGCTATTGGGTTCAACCTTGAATAAATTTTAGCTCGTGAGCCATATTTCTGCTTTGAAAAATTGCCTTCACTTGAAGCTACCGTCCCCTCTTTCTTCTGTCTTTCCACTGAATGCTTAGAGTTTCATCTCTTTTTATTCTCCCCCAAAAGAGTTAGGCGAGTAAATTCTTCTTGTATTATCATTTGAGCTTAATTCAGTGTAGTCTTTTTTTTCTTGTCAATTGCTTGCTTGATTGCTGTGCCACCAAATCAGAATTTATAACATACATCGGCCACGCACCTACCAAAAGTGGAAACGATGCCAGAAAATTCAGTCAGACTTCATTACGTTGTGAGTGACATGTTCCCACTCTTTAAAAAGTAAACACCTCCTCTTATCATGAAGTATAGGTGGGGAAAGAAGAGAATGAAAGTAGGAGCAAATGATTCTTGAACTGCCCTCAGATCTGCGTTGGCACAGAAAGGAGGAAGCACTGGCCTTTCTGTCCATCCTAGCTGTTAAGATCAGTTCTGGGCCTTTGGCTACAAAAAGGAATAGTAACTGCACAGTGACTCCCTTAATTTATGAGTGTACCATCCTGTCAAATCCAGTGTGCGATACTTTAATAAATTTTCTTCTTCTCATATATGTCACATCTATTAAATATAAAGCATCTTTTGATGCCTAAGAGAAATAAAGAGAAAATAAGTACTCAGGAAGTATAACCCCCAGGCCTAAATGTCTAATCACTTAGAAGAGCCACCACTACCCCCCCTGCTGCCCCTCGTGGAAAAGGAAGAACCACTCCAAGGAACATTCTTATCTGGTACTCAGATAATCTCACAGAGGATATTAAATTTTGCTCCTGTGTACTCCTCAGCATTTTTTAAAGATTTTATTTATTTATTTGACAGAGATCACAAGTAGGCAGAGAGGCAGGCAGAGAGAGAGGGGGAGGCAGGCTCCCCGCTGAGCAGAGAGCCCGATACGGGGCTCGATCTCAGGACTCTGGGATCATGACCTGAGCCGAAGGCAGAGGCTTTAACCCACTGAGGCACCCAGGTGCCCCTACTCCTCAGCATTTTTAAGATGGTCTTTTATCGTTGAATTCCAACTCCAGAAGCACTTTACCAAAGGGAACTTTGGTTTTTCCCAAGTACATATCTTTTTCTTTTTCTTTTTTTTTTTTTTAAAGATTTTATGTATTCATTTGACAGAGAGAGAGAGAGAATAAAAGTAGGCAGAGAGGCAGGCAGAGAGAGAGGGGGGAAGCAGGCTCCCCGCTGAGCAGAGAGCCTGATGCGGGGCTCGATCCCAGGACCCTGAGATCATGACCTGAGCCGAAGGTAGAGGCTTTAACCCACTGAGCCACCCAGGTGCCCCACATATCTTTTTCTTTACTATTTTTGTTTAAAATTTCTTGCAATGATCTCAGAATCGTTAATGTGTCCACAGTTCTCCACCAAGCTCAGGTTGCCTTCATCAAAATTGTTTCTCTTGCCTCCTTATAATTTATTTTATTTTATTTTATTTTATTTTATTTTTTGCTATTCAGATAAAGTAAAACTAATCCCAGCTGTCATCTCCAAAGTAATAGGCAAGTAAGAGACTCCTCATTAACATATGCTGTTAGGTTAGAAGGTGGGGGAAAGACAGTGATGCATAAACATGTTAAAATGTCCAGCTATCAACATCTCCTTCATGTAATTTGATCTAGAATGTTCTGGAACTCTGACCAACTATTCCATTAAAGAATTAGGTCTTGACAGTGCCCTTTGCATTTAGAAGAGAGAGTAAGAGCAGCTTGCTCAAATAAGAAATAACCTGAAGGTAAAGACAAATTATAAAATGGTGATTTGTCCAAAACACTTGGAGCTGTTGGCATAGACAACACTTTGATATTGCTGGGGGCACTGGTTATTGTACCTTCACACACCTATACAATTGTACATAAAAATAAATGAATAAAATAAAACAGATGAGGATGGACTGAGAAAAGTCTGTCACAGGGGCTTGAAATTAGAGCTCTATTATTTCAACAGGAAAGAAGAACAAACTACGAGTTTACTATCTTTCATGGTTAAGAAACAGAATACTACACAACGACCCAGAAGTGGAAAAGAAACAAGGCTGGATCACAGTTGGGGACTTGGAAGGCTGCATACATTACAAAGTTGGTGAGTGTCAAGACATGGAATATTTTACTCAATCCTAATTACTCAGTTTAAGTTTCATTCCATTTGTTCTCAATTAGGTATTGATGATACAGTTGTTACCAGTTTGAGATATTGTTGAAACTTTGAAGTATACTTGCACTGTTCCCAAAAAGCTGGATTGATGAAGTTCTAAGAGTGCATTTGGACTCAAGTCCTGTGCTCCAGTTTAAACATTTATATCCACTCCCTCCCAAATACCCATTAAAATGACAGTGAAGGAATAAAAATGCGCTAAACCCACAAGGACAAAGGGACCAGAAGAAGAAAAACCAGCAACAAGATACGTCAACAGAATTGAACAAGAATAGTTGGATGATGAGTAACTAACCTAGATGACCAGGAAATGCTCAATTCTATGTCTAAGTTATCAAGTTCAATCCAACCACTTAACAGAACCCAGAAAGGCCCAAGATCTGAGGCCCCAGATGTTATCTGAGATGGAGGTATATGGTGGAACTGAAAACAGAAGGATTATTGGAAGGGTGATGAGCCACGACTTCTCTCCCACTGCAACGGAGGAGGAAAAGTTGGCATGGCCAATCTGAATTGTGGGAACATGGAATTGCCAGGACCCACATATACACACACACACATCCCTTATTTTCCCATTTAGCGCCCATAATGTTGTCAGCCATACTTATATACCCAAGCAAGAGACTGAAAGATTTGTCTTTGGAGAAACAAAATGGCCAGAAAGAAAAGATGTCTGGGTACTAACATTGGCAGTGCCATGGGAAGCTTGCTATGTGACCACTGAAACCTGAAGCCCAGCAGTGGGTAAGCCCACCTGCACTGGATACGGGGACATCCAGCAATAGGAAGGAAACTTTAACAGAAAGAAAGGACTTGAGAGGAGCCAGAGCTAATGAGGAATGGAAAAAAATTAACAAGAAACTCTAATAACTTCAGAGAGATTAGAAAAACTATTTCCAGAAGTGAAGACTAGGGACCATTAAGAAGGACACTTGGAGAAGGGTCAGTGGAGGTCAGAAAGCAAGGGAAAAATCTCAGAAATTTGAATATATTGGCAAGCAAAAAAAAGTGTAATAGATGTATCAGAAGATAAAGATGAGACATCTCCTAGAAAGTAGGACCAGAAGAAAAGAAAAGGAGACAAAAGGCAAGAAGGTAAAAGATCAGTCCAAGTGCTTCAAAATCTAAGTAACATGAGTTTAGAAAAAAAGAGAAGATAACAATTAGAAAGGGAAGAAAGTATCAAACAAGTAATATAAGAAAATTTCTAGAACTAAAGACTCGAAGTCCCAAGTTAAAAGGATTCACTGTGAATACCCATTATAGTGAATGAAAAAAAAAAAAAAAAAAGACTCAAAGGAAGATATATTAACATGACATTTAAGTACCCAGGAAATGAGGTCCATAAAGCTTCCATATTATAATTAAATAAATAAATAGTTTATAAATTAGGGGGCTTGAGATTTAGCAGCAATACTACAAGCTTAGAATATGATGGAGCAAAAGCCTTCAGGTAGTATTTTATAACCCATCAGTATTAACCAGGTTCTCAAGAGAAACAGAGCTAATAGGATACACACATACATATGCGCACACACACTGGGGGTGTGTGTGTATAAGAGGTATATACATACATATATGGGTTTGTAAATATACTCTCTATATAAAGTAGTTTATTACAGAAGTTCCCTCACACGATTATGGAGGCTACGAAGTCCCAAGATCTGTAGTTGGCAACCCGGAGACCCAGAAGAGCTAGTCTCTCAGACCCAGTCTGAAGTCTGGAAAAGACCAGTGTCCCAGCTCAACAGTCAGGCAGGAGGTGTCCTCTTAATCTGTCGTTTTACTCTGTCGGATCTGTAATCGACTAGGTGAAACCCATCCACACTTGAGAGGGCAGTCTACTTTCCTCAGTGTACCCACTCAGATGTTAATATGATCTGGAAAAACCCTCATAGACACACCCAGAACAATGTTTGACCAAATATCTGGGCACGTTGTGGCCCAGTCAGGTTGACACATAAAAATTAGCCATCACACCATCAAACCATCAGTCAACTTTGAATGTAGTATGAAGACATTTTCAGATGTGCAGAGGCTCACAACATTTATGTTCCATACACTGGTTCTCAGAAAACTACTGACTGACGTGTTCCATCAAAATAAAGGCATAAATCTAGGAATCCAGATAAAAAAATGAAGAAAATACCCAGAATGATGGTGAAGGAAATGTGGGTGACAACTCTGTCGTAGGCCTAGAGAGAAATCAGGAAATCAGTCAAGGTAGAGTGGGACAAGGGAGTATTCTAAAAGGGGTGCCTTCAAGGAAAATAAAATGTCATGAATAGATTACCTGCTACATTTGACCACATTGAAGGCATTTACAGTGCTAGCAGGATGTCTACATGTGCTTAGAGACAGATACATGGAAATGAAGGAAGTTGGGGGGGGGGATGAAAAACGAGAAAGAAAATGTAATTGTGGCATGCTATATGCCTCAGCTGTGAACAATAATCATTTCAACGTGGGATCTTGATTTAACCAAAAATTTGAACTGTAACTGTATCAGTGGTGTGGGGGAGGAAGAAACGTGTGTGTGCATGTGAGAGAGAACTAGAGAGAGGAGACGGTTATAAGAGACTAACTCCTTCCCATGCTCTCAAGTCAACAGATATCTCCAGCTGAAAAAAAATCAAGAAATAACATTATAAGCATATTATTTAGAAATATGGAAGTCAATAGCCAGAAGTAGCTGAAAGTATATTAAAGACAGAATATGTAAACAGCAAGGGCACACTAAAGAAAAAGAGCTCAGGGAGCAAGAATTTGGTTCACTGCCATGGGCTGTCCAGTTTCCTTTTGGACACCAGTATTCCATTCATTCAACTATTCCGCGAAGGAGATGACTGCCACATGTACTGTCTTAGCCTGTTCAGGGTGCTAGAGCAGAATACCATGAGCAATAGGAATTTCTCACAATTCTGGAGGCTGGGAAGACCAAGGTCAAGGTGCTGGCCGACTCATTGTCTGCTATGGGCCTGCTTTCTGGTTCATACACAGCAGTCGTTGCTACAACCTCATGCAGTGTTTGGAGAGGGGGATCTCTCTATAGGCAGTAACCACTTATAAATCCCTAATCATCGGAATTCATATTTGGATAATAAGCAAACGGCCCCCTTTACATGTCTAGCCATTTTCTAATTTTTCTACCATTTGGCCATACCAGCTCTCAGCTTCTAGCACGTGGGTGACTATAAAAGCCAGGGAGGGGAACGTAAAGGTGACTGTGCAGGTTCTTATTACAATGAATAAGTCACATCTAGACTTAGTGATTAAAGAGAGTCTTAAGCCTTCAGATGAAGAAAAGAGCCTTCAGTATAAAGCAAAAGGCCCCAAGTATTCTGAAGACGGAGTGCTTTAAAGAAAGTTCAGTCTGTTCTATGAGCAAATCCCCCACCAAGAGCGACGTATGTATTTACATATGCAAACCCCTGAGTGCGTTGGTATGCCTTCTAAATTTATCATTTGTCTATTACAGTTAAATATGAAAGGATTAAATTCCTAGTGATTGCCTTAAAGAATGCTGTGGAAATATATGCCTGGGCTCCTAAGCCGTATCATAAGTTCATGGCATTTAAGGTAAGCGGGCATGTGATTACCTAAAAAAGGTGTTTTTTTTTTTTCTTTTTTGGTTTGCACCAGTTAACAAAGTGGTCTGTCTGGCACATCGACTAACGCCAATTTTTCTATACATAATAAACCCCTTTTAAAAGTATCGGAACTCTTAGGCTTATTATTCTAAAAGCAAAAACTAAGCACTAATAAATGCCATCAAATATACTGGGGGTGGGAGATGAGTGAATGTAGAAAAAATTGTGGGGTGCCCTCCTCCATATCAGGTCAACAATCATCATCTCCTAGGGGCATTTAGTATGGGATGGCTACTGGGCAAAGCATTAATTGTGATATTAGGCAATGAGAGTCATTATAAAGGCACCTAACTAGGGTAATCTCTGATAAGTCATCTCAAAAAGGCAGGCGAACCGCAGCACCAAATCTCAAGGATGAACCGTGTCTCCAAATCTTGTCATCCTTATAAGCCTTTTGGGGTAAAGTCCCAACAACTCACATGATGTGCATATATCCCCAGTGCTATTGGACTCCTCTGAAGTAAATACTGAATGTAGTTCCATAAGGAAATGGCTTAGTTTCTCTGCATTCCGCTTTTTCCTTTTTGAACTTATCTGAGTCTGGACCCACCATGGTTGGATTGGTCACCCGTGACACTCAGCAGGAATGGGATGAGGATATGCTAGAGCAGTGGACCCCAGCTTATGAAACTGGACCCCAAATGCCACAAGGACCAGTCTGTGCAGGCACTTGGACGTATACAGAGCTGCAGACTCTATCCGGAGCCCAAGTGAATTTGTCATCTGTTCCCTGTCTCTCTCTGCCGGTGTCTCTCGTTTTCTTCAGAGCACGTTGGCCCTCACTTTTTCTCCCCACTCGTGTGGCTTTCATCTTCCTTTGACCCTTGATATATTCTTTCTTGCTGCTTATGCCATGTGAGGCCAGAAGCTGCCTTGGGAGCACTATGAGGCGCTCTTTGAGGCTGTCTCGTTCCCTTAGTGCAAGGGGCTCATTTGTGATGTGCTCAGGAAGATAGATCCATCAGTGGAAGTGGGCTTCCTCCATTCCCCACTTTGATGGAGAGAAAGTTTTAGACTGTATTAGGTTAGTAATAACACTAACACCTAAAAGTTAAATTGGTGCTGCCGTTGTGCCCAAATCTAGGTCCACGAAAGTTTTTCACTCAAGGTCCTGTTCGGATTCCGGTTTGGAAGTTACTGCCAGCCTTGGTGCATGAGAGGGTGCAAAAGGCTGTGTTCTGTTTACCACACCCAGCCTGGCAGGAGGACAGTGCAAAAGCCAGGACTGGAACAGGAGAGATGGGAGCCTCCCCTACTATGAGACTCCACTAGCAAAAGCTGAAGAAAAGGCTCCATTGGGTGGCAGTGGCATTATAGCTGAGTCACTTGTGGTTTCTTCTCTCCCAGACATCAAGGCCCAGTAAAAGTAGACTGTGCTGAAATAATGGCAAAAGAAAACAGGAATGCTTGACAGCTACTTGGGGCTTGGGCTCTGGATTGAAACACATGGAACCTTAATAAATTTGGCTAGAGCTCTCTTTTTTCCTTCCTACTTAAGCTGAACTAGCCGACGTAAGCCATGAGTCTTGTGATGTTCCAGCCTTCCCCTCCCTTCTCTATTGACAATGGTATGTTTAAGAGGTACCAATCTGATGCCCACTCACTCACCGAAGGAAAATCAGAACCAGAGTGTGCCCATTAATTCTGAACAGACTCAGCACAGAGCTGGTCCAGCTGCCCACCCCATGGTGTCTCTGAAAGGGTCACAGCCATGTGAGGGCCTGGTGTTCCATGGGAAAGAAAGGGGCCAAAGAGATGGCTAGGCCTTCTCCAGAAGGAAAAGGCCAGAAATAAACAGGAAAGAACAGCGGCACCCAGATGCCAAGTTCTTCAAGGATAATAATGCTGTTGAAATTGACAACTCTAAACCACTTCTCTGCCCTAGAGGACAAGGAGTGGAGAAGGGGCCACAGATGGGTGCTAGACCTTTTCTTCCTCCTAGAGCCAGAATACAAATAGATCTAAAGCTGTAAGAGAAATCTGCTGGCTTTTCAACGTAAGAAAGCCAGACATTAACTTCCACCAGGCTGTGGCTAAAAGAAACAATGATTAAGATAACCTCTTTGAACGATGTGGACACTCATGGGGTGCTTTTTAAAGTCTTTTTCAGATCTCCAGCACAAGCCACTGCTTGTTGATCTCACAGTAGAAGAAGGTCAAAGATTGAAGGTTATTTTTGGTTCACACACTGGTTTTCATGTAATTGATGTTGATTCAGGAAACTCTTATGATATCTACATACCATCTCATGTAAGTTCTCAAGTTCTACAACAACGTGCATGTAGAAAAGGGATTTGTTCTTGCATATTTTTAGTGGAAGTCAAGCTAATTTTTATTAATTGGTACAGCAGATGGACTAAAAAGGCTAAAAGCCTTCACTAAATAGACAATGCTTTCAATACATAAAACATGGGTGTAACTAATCTTTATAATGCTTGAAACTGAGTAACAGGTAACAGCGATTCTTCACCATTTACTAGACATGTTGTCTTATTGGACTTTGGATTAAAATACATATGACATTTTTCCTTCAGGGGCATAAATTGTGTTTTTTAAGCAAGAGTACAATAGATGACGTCCTATTTTCAGCTTTTGAAGGGAGACGGGTTCATGTGACTTGGGAAGTCAGTGGTCCCCTTTTGCTGTCTTTATTGATCTCTTCAACTTGAGTGGGTGTTGTGTAGTAGAATCAGACACTGGAGGCTACCCTGGCGCTAGCATGTATTCACTTCGCAACAATGGGCACATTAGAGAGTCTCACAAGTCCTCAGCTTTCCATCTGTAAAATGGGAATAAAAGGACCTATTCCAGAGGCTTATCATCAACATTAAATGAAGTAATACCTCTAGATACTTAGCATAAACCCCTGCAAATTGTTGTATGAACATTACAACACTGGAACACTGCCTAAAACCTGACTGTCAAACAGAAATACGGCCCGTGGTGTCACTTCTTAGGATGGGTGCCGTGTAAGTCATATTTCCTGCACCAGATCCCAAGGCCAACATACAGTAGACACCGTCAGGAGAGTCTGAGGCCTGATCTGTTGCTGATTGGTATTTTGAGAGTTTATAGGCTTTACTGCAAAAAAGTGTGATGATTGAAAAAAGTAGTTTCAGTACATCACACACACATATGCACACACATACACACACAAACACAGTCTCTTTCACACATGCGCAGTGTTCCGTGCTGCATCCTAGCTTTTCACACGTGTGTGCATGTGCACACAGGACACACAGCTCCCGTGCTTGGTGAGGTGACTAGGGCATCACTGTGATCACCCTCAGTCCTTCCTCTCCACGCCAGGCACATAGCAGGCTACCATGACAGCCTTAGCCCAGGGACCCCAGCAGCACTGCATCTCCTCTCCTACAGCAAGTCCATCTACACTGATTCCAGTAGCATGACTTTTTTTAAATGACCGGTCATTTTAAGTGTTTTCTCAACAAGCCATTAATTTGGCTTATTCCGTCATTTGGGCACCCAGATAAATAGTCCATGTTGGATGCTCAGAGCCTATTTGCTGGCGTCCGTTGGGGTCCCACCCTTTGACCTTGTGTCGGCTATTTCCATCAAATTCAGCTGGTTTGCATTCCCCTCGTCTTTTTTTAGAAGTAGATGGAAGTAGATTTTTTATTGTCCGTGAGACACGGGCTCAAATCCTAGTTCTACCACCAAAGACCGGGGCAGCTCTGCTCAATCTACATTGCCCCTCTGACGTGCACACGCCTCGCCTCGTCTGTAGAGGGTGTTCACCACGGGGAACCCTTCTAAGGACCAGAGATGTTGTACGTAAAGAGCCCAGGGCTCAGCACGTAGTAGGTGTTCCCTACTTGCAGTTGTTTTTTTGTAGGTACAGGTCATTGATTCTCGACTTAGTGCCTAAGTCTGTATTTGTATACCGGGGTATGTGACAGGTCAGTGGTTAAAGTCAGCAAAGCAAAGCAAAATGTCAGTCTCTAGAATGAAAATGGTGGCCGGGGGTGGGGGGAGGGGATCGTCTTTTTTGCCATCTTAGAGATGCATAGCCAAGACACTGTTGTATTTTTTAAAAGGAATAATGCCTGGCCTTTCTTTGTCTCCTAGATTCAGGGCAATATCACTCCTCATGCCATTGTCATCTTGCCTAAAACAGATGGAATGGAAATGCTTGTTTGCTATGAGGATGAGGGGGTGTATGTAAACACCTATGGCCGGATAACTAAGGATGTGGTGCTCCAATGGGGAGAAATGCCCACGTCCGTGGGTAGGTTAACCATTCCTTATCTCCTTCAGCAGTTACACCCCCCAAATGAAACGAAAGTCAAGAAATGTGAAACAACCATTTGATTCCACCAAAAAAAAAAAAAAAAAAAAGTCTGTGAATAACACTTGTAAGACTTGCTTTGTCTGTTTATCTCAAGTTGTTTGTCATTTTTGTGGTTAAGATGTGAACAGATGCTGTGAGTTATTGCCCATCTAATGTTTTTAATGCAGTTTTGGAAATTCCTTTTGACAGCCTACATTCATTCCAATCAGATAATGGGCTGGGGCGAGAAAGCTATTGAGATCCGGTCAGTGGAAACAGGACATTTGGATGGAGTATTTATGCATAAGCGAGCTCAAAGGTTAAAGTTTCTATGTGAAAGAAATGATAAGGTAAATCCGTTTCAACATTTGCATTAGTGTTTGCATTTTAAGAGACCACCAGGTACCTGTGAAACCTTCATTTTCCTCTATACTGATTTGAATCACATCTGTGTTAATCAATATTCTCTTGAAATGGCATTATTTGGTTTGATTCATGTGAACCCTCAAAATATATTATTTGCATATTTAAAAAGACATTAAAACTTCTAAGAATTTCTTGTAAACTCTTAGCAACTTTTTGTGGCCTGCAGGCCTTATGCTGACTCAGCAGACACCCCAAATTCTCCTACACATGTGGGAGAGTTGGCCCATCGTTAATCACTCACAGTGGGTCAGCTTCACACTCCACTTCGAGACTTTTCACAAAGTCACTATGGGGAACCCAACCCATCACATTATATTCACCTTTAAATGTAAAACATTTGACATGGAGAAATACAAACTTTTAAAAAAATGTCACCCATTCCTTAAGAAATGCTCAGTCGCAAACTCAACTAGTGCCATGTCCTGTGTCATTCCAGCCATGTTTCTTCTGAAGTGTCATAGGGGGACTGTTTTGCAGTGAAATTGGTGGCGTCCGTCTGGCATGATCAGTCGCCTCAGAAGGGTACTCTGCAGCAGTGCGGCTTCTCCCTTGCCTTCCCTGTAGACTAACCCAGAGTTTTTAGTCGCTAAGCGGTGCTCATTTGTGAATTCATCCTTTGGGGCTATGGCCAACTTAGAAATACTGTCCCCAAAGAGCAGGCCTGAAACACCTAGAGTAAAGAATGTGATGGGTTGAACAGATGTACATCTCTTGGTCCATCCTGGTTCCCCAGAGGCCAGACCAGTCTTAGTCCAACCCTGGGGGTGAGTCCAGACTATATTTGACCCTGGCCAGCTACTCTGACCCAGTGCAACCTGTGTAGACAATAGCTGTGGGTGCCAAGGATGGTTCCAGGGCCTTCCCAGAGTATGCCAGGAAATAGACCTGACCCCTAGTAAAACTCCAGGCCCAGCCCAGTCTCTGGGGATCGATCGTAAGACTAGGAGTGATCTCGGTATAGATCCTCACACTCCAGTTCCTTGACGACCCACTCCAGGAAGCCAGTTCTAAGCCATGCCCACACCCTCTGGAGCAGGCAGGGACCACACCAGTATCTGGGGCCCAAGGTTCAGAGCCCAGGGTGCACACAGCCTGGAGAGAACAGCAGCCCTTTCTTCCCCTCCCCCCACCCAGTGTGTTTCCATGGATCTTCTGTACTTCCCCATTTTAATTCACTGACCCCAACAGTAGTTATACTTACATATGTAGCATTAGCTGAATGACAAGCATTTCCCCCCAGAACTTCCTAAGAAGTTGTTGTGGGGAGAGACAGCATTCTTCTGAAGGAGTTGTGGAAATAAAGTAGCAGAGACTTTACACTAGTGACAAAAGTAAATGCCTTGGACCAAAGTTTGGTGTTGGCAAACTAAGGGCTAAGCCACAGCCCAGAATATTATTTTCCCAGGGCAGTGGTTCACTGACATTCAAGCAAGCAGTAACGCAAATTTTGCTTAGTTGTTTGATAAAATGATTTAACAGACCCAGACCTAATGGACTGTGGTTCTGTTTATTAATGCCATCTCTCCTTTGGCCTAGGATATGCCTGCACCAGCAGACAAGCCAAGAGTCAACTCTTGATATACCAAAGTGAATAAGCATGAAACAACTTACCCTATCTGATCACACCATTTTTTTTTTTTAATTTAAAAAACTGATAACTGAAGTTGTATAGTAGTCGATAGGTCCAAAATTCTGCCCCTCCCCTGACCTTGGGAATTTGAAAGGATTCTCTAAAGGCCTAAAGTCTGCCCTATCATCAGTATGGGGGAAAGAAGGGAAGCCTCTATGGTTTTCCAGAGATTAAGGACCTGTTATGTCCTAGGCCCAAAATCTAGCACATTACCTAGCATGAAACTCCCTTTTAAAATATGAGCATCCTCAGGGATGTTGCCAATCAAGATATAGCCCCTCCCATGTTCCTGAAGGCCCGCACCATAATACGTAACAGTCACAATCAAAGTAATCAAGTCAGGAGTGTGTACAGAGGATGCACTGTATTCAAAGGCACTTTTATAAACACCAGCCATTGAGTCTTAAGAGCTGACACATGGCAAGGATAGGACATGTGAGAGGAAATGGATGGACGGTTGAAGAAAAGAGGAAAAGAAACCATGCAGTTGAACTAACTTCTTTTTAATTTCAAACAGGTATTTTTTGCATCCGTGCGATCTGGAGGAAGTAGCCAAGTGTTTTTCATGACCCTCAACAGAAATTCCATGATGAACTGGTAACAGAAGAGCACTTGGCACTTATCTTCATGGCGTTGTTTCTAATTAAAAAGAACATAACTCATGTGGACTTATGCCAGTCTAGAGGCAGAATCAGAAGGCTTGGTTGAACATACCGCTTTCCCCTTTTCTTCTCCCCCAACCCGTCCTAGTACAGTCCACAGTCCATCTTTCAGTGTTGCAGCCTGGTTGAGAAGGAGAGAAAAAGGTGGCAGGAATTTCCAGGAGATCCCCAAGAATGCTGCGTTGTTTGTGGACAAAGATGGACCATGTGCCCTTCGGAGTTAGGGATAGAAACAAATATTGTGTGCTCTTATGATTAAGCTGTGTTATGGTGGGTTTTGAGTTTTGTTTTTGTTTTGTTTTTCTACCTTTTTTCTTTACCCCCTTACTTTGTAAGAATGGGGAGAGAGTGCATACTGAAAAGATGAGTCTGTTTTTAATTCTGTCTGCCTGCTAGGTATAACTATACAATATGTTGTAAAATTTCCAATTTCAAATGGTGAGAGACAGCACAATAAATGTACCTTATCTCCTTACACTGAAGGCCATAATTGCATAGTGGGGTAATTTTAGAACTCTTTTGCCTTCACCAACCCAAAGGTTGCTTTTTGATAGCAACTGGCTAATGAATTTTTAAAAGAGAAGAAAAATACTAGTTTTCCCCTCTTTGGGGAAATAGATTTTAAATGGCTAAACTACTAGCCTTAGACTAATAAAATCAACTACCATTTTTGTGAGTCTGACAGGCCCTATTTTCATATGGCCCTGTGCAGAATGGAATGTGTTGAATGGGATAGTAGTGCCATTGAGTTGAGTTGGCTCTAGCGATTGAGGGACTCTGTAACACAACTTTCCCTCAGCTATTATGCAACAGATCAGGGCAAAAGATGGGATGACTGACGGGGTTGGACAAAAAGAGCTCCTGGGAAACAAACTAAAAAAAAAAAAAATTTATATATTATATCCGTATATATATATACATAAATAAATAAATATATATATATATATACACACACATTCTTTTTTTAATGCACAAAGCCTCTAGCTAAGAGGTCACTGGCTTTGGGCTTCATTAGGAGTGAGACTGTTGAGTTCTTTCTGGGAATTGGGGAGTGAATGACATCCAGACTCTGGTCATTCCCAGCTTTCTCCTGAGGGTGCCACTTTCTCAAAATGAAAACTGTGACTGAAAAAATAATAATAATAAATGTTTCTGAGCTGCCTGTGTTCTCTCTGGGTTGGTGAGAGAAGGGACTAGACTACTAAGCCTGCCTGAGACACAGCAGGCATCATTGGTTCAGAGTTTATAGAACTTAAAAGCAAGGCTTTGGCCAGAATTCTGAGACCCTAATCATTTTCCCTTCCTCCAAATTACCCAACATACGGTAAACAACATTTGTGCAGAGATATGTATGTATTTAGTTCAGGTTGACTTGTGTCCTTATAAACTCTTACTCGGATGATTTTGAACTTTGACGTGACTGTCTGGGTTTTTTTTTTTCCAAAGCTACAAGCATGGCCGCCTGTGGTATCCAAGGTGTTGCAAAACGATATGTGTTGCGCTTCCTGTTTTAACCTACCTCGTTTCGTTTGTTTTGTTTCACTGTTCATCGCAGCAGTGTTATCTCCAGGAGACATATAGAGAGCTCAACTGGCAATCTCAGGTGTATTTCATACTTTTTAAACAAAACAGTAGTTGACCAAATTGTTCTTCAAAAAATTTTTTAAAAATCCAACTTCAACAAAAACTAATGCGACTTTGTTTCTGGAGAAAGCAATTACTGTAAACAGATTTTTTTATTTTTTAAAGTCTGTGATCCTACTGATTTTTGCCTAAGTACATTAGCAGCTGATGTACTATTAATGAGAACGAAATATACGTTAGGAAAATGGAGCCAATTCAATCTGGTGGTTTGGGTAAAAGGGGGACGGGCAGGGGAATTATTGCAGTTTCTGAAGTAGGTGATTATGGCCCTCCTGTAGTGGTAGTTATCATAGCATCATTTGCATTTGAAACAGGTAACACACAGTAATGGAATTGGGGATTACCTTCAGGCGATCACTGAGCTGTCCTCATCATGGTCCCTTTAGCTCTCAAAAGCAATGAAATCCTCCCGTTCTCATTTTTACTGCTATGGCTCTGCTGATGAACAATACTATCTTCACAAATTCCATGCAACAAATTCAGCAATAACTTTTTGGATTGAATTTAGCAACTACTGTAATTGGATGCTGATGTGGACAAAATATATTGATTTGGGTCTCATGCCCAGATGTGATTGCCACCAGCTCTTTATATCGCTGCTGTGGTATCTTAAACCAGAAGCTTCTTTAAATTATGTTGCAAACTGATCTTTGTTTTTATGTTATGTTTTGTTTGATTTCTAAGTGATGAGTTCGAAACACACAGCTTTAAATGATTTTTTTATTGTGGGATTTTGGGTACAGTTAAGAAATAAAAGGGAATCATTGTGTTTAAACATAAGGTAGTTTGTGAATGTATTTTTTAAAATCTAGAGTCATTGAAACAAAACTCATAAAAACAATATTAATGCAGTCTTGTTTACAGTATGTACAGTGACATAACATAGAACATGAGCTTTTTCTGGTGCCAACAATAAAACACAGACATTAAACATCAAGCCATGCCTTTCTATATTTTTGTACAAATAGTTTACATGGAGTAGAAGGCAAAACTAAATTTAAAAGGGCCCCTAACAAAGCTGTGTTCCTTAACAGATATCTAAAAACGTCCTTGTAGCTTTTATCTTCAAAAATACATTTTCTTCCATCAGGACAGGCCCCAGGCCTCACACACGGAGACCCCGGTCGTGCTGAGTATTTCAGATTATTATGGCTCATAGCAATTCTCAGTTTTCTGGTTTGCTTATTTTCTTTCTTCCTTCCTTTTTTTTTTTTTTATGGTGGGAGGAGGGTTGTGCTTTTTGTCCATCTTAATAGCACCCTAGTAAAAATTTCTTTAATTTTGAAACTAATTAGTTTCAGTGTTTAGTTTTAGTTCTTCCCAGAGGGGATTTTGTTTATGGAATTGGCTCATTTTATTTTTGTTGTTCTACAAAGTGAAACTGAGCCCTTGCCCCAAAGTAAGTTTCGCGAGATCTTTTCAGTACTTACTGCTCTAAATTGATAATCATACTGTAAAATCCGTGGAGCCTGCCCAAACCATAGTCTTGGTTCAGGTTCTGACAGGTGACCATCATTCTGGGGTGCCAGTGAGGGGGAAAATAGTGTGGATTCCCGTGTCCATACTGCAGAAACATAAGACCTCTAAGATCTCCATTCGAATGGTGAGCGTTCTCCCCAGGCCAGTTACACCCCGGCCATTGCCACTGCACAGAGTATGAATGCAAACAGCTTGCACTAAGTTCCACACAGAATCAATGGCTCTGGTTATATAGATGACACTATTTTTCTTGAAGACTTAAATGATGCTTCAAGAAGACCTACAGCTATTTCAACAGTATAGATCAAGGTCCAGATGAAATCCCACAAGGTCACCTGGACAGGGACTCCATTTTTCTAATACAATGGCATTGCTTTCTAAGATACATTTCTTACATACTTGGCATCAAGTACATATTTTTAAAAAGCATCTTCATTCCTGGTTGTCAAGACCTACTAACAGTTTTCTGTCTGCTCTTGTGACTCATTGGTCATTGGTGTCTCTGGTCGTTCTTGTGCGGTAAATTAGACAGAGATGTGAAATTCAGGTCGGAGCCCTTTTGGTTTTGTCCACTGCCAGACAAAGAAGTGCCTGAAGTCTGACCTCCCATTCCATGAAGTTAAATAAAAGGGAGGGGGGTTCTTTATTATTATGTGTACCAGTTCTTGTCACTGTATTCTGGAAATGTGGAAGAGCTCTTTGTGTCAATAGTGTGTGCTGTCCTTGGAAGTCTGCTTGAACAGGCATCACTGCAATTGTGCTGATCGTTTTAAGATATGAAATGTGCTACCTTATTTTTAAGAAAGAAAAAAAAAAATTTTTTTTAACCCACTGGAGGAAAACAGGAGAATATCCACAACACATTGGTAACAATTCTGAATCATCTTCCCAACCCCTGATGTTCCCAAATCCTTTCTGATACTAAGTTCTGGCCCTCTCAACAGTTTCTGTGAATGATCAATTACCTTTTAGTTCATTCCTCAAAAATCTGAATCTGACCAAATCAAATGAAGCATAACAAACAAATCTATAACTGGTCTTCCTTGAGACTACATAGTTACAATGTAAAAATCCAAAAATCTACATGTGATTTCATTTACCTGCTAATATTTCTCAAATGCCACTACATTTTGGCTTTGATGAGTATAGTAGTATCAGGAACCCTAAGGTGTGCTTTCCTTTCATGGGCCTCAAAATGGTATAAACTGAACTCTTCTCAGAAGCCCCAGCAAAGAAGAAAATCCCTTGAGAACTTTCAGGTTCAAACCTGACCATTTGTACATTTCTACCGAGCATTTTTCAAGTGTTGTTTGAGTTCCATACTGTATCATTGTTCTGGGAATTTTTCCACAGGCAATAAGAAGATTCCAAAAAATGGCATAGTGTTAAACTGTATGGGACTCTAACTCTCTGCTGCGAACTTTATTGTAGGCCTGCCATCCCAGGAAGTGCCAGAATGCGGCAAAACTAAAATCCCCACAGAAGTGTGTTTTTAAACAGAAGTCCCTGGATACGTTTTTTGAGATATTTTAAATTCAGATCAAAATCTTGGACTCTGTGTCCACGAGGCCAAACATTTGGATGAAGACTAAGCAACACAGTTAGAAATAGAAATGTTCTAAGGATTACAGAGTTTTGGCTTTGCATAGGTATCTTCAAACTAACTCGACTCCTCGCATGAGGGTTTGGTTTTGATGGTTTGTTTTTACCATCAGTGGGTGGCATCACACTACTGAGCCTGAGCAAAGGCTGGTGAAGAGGTTTTTGTTTCCAGCAGTGGGTCATTATGTGTACATAGCAAATGTCATGCCCCAGTTGCCCCTTCCTCTTAATCTCTTACCCTGGGGTTAGTGTGGAGGAATAGTAATACTGTGTCATGCTTTGTATAAAAACCTCAGTTATTACCCTGAATCAGAATTTCAACTGTTAGGTGACAGCAAGAAATCACAGCAAGGGGGAAAAAAAATGACAGCTCGGATGAACTTTAAAATTGGATGTTGTGAAACTATTTTTGTGCAGTTTAGCGTTCTTATTTACAATGTCAGCAGAACCGTAGAGATGCCAAGTTTACAAGATTGGGAAGGGAGACTGTCATTCTGCTATGCCTACAAGTGTCTACATTGTTGAAATCTTCAGTTTTCTAAAGTGTTTCACATTGTCAAAAACATGCTCAAACTGGGTAAGTCTTACCTGTGTTAAGGTATAAAAGAAAATATTCTTGGCGTATTTTCTAGTCTGAACCTTTTGGGTACTTTCCAGTATTTCTTTCCCGCATACAAAAAGCCTTCAGTTTTTGTGCATAGTTGTTCTGAGCAATAGTTAGAAATGATTTGGTGGGTTCTAAGCCAGGGTTTTCCCATAGAGTCACTGCCATGCCTTGGGATATATTATGTTATCTCTGTCAAAATGTGAGTAATAAAGCATTAATAGTTGCAGGATGCCTGCTTGTTCCTCATTGCCACTTCCAGGCTCTTCTCCGTCCCTCCTAAACACCCAACGCTTTGAAACTCTTGCCATCAACCTACAAAGTCCCTACTTACCTTCCAGCCCTCCCTCACAGTGCTTAAGTATTTTCAGGTTTTGACTCACCGTCACCAGCTCCAACACCACCCCTCCTTAACGCTTGGTGAATTCAATATCCACTTGGACAAGCCTGTAAATACCCGGGTTTCTCAGTTTCCTGGTCTTGTCCAGTGAAACATATTACCAATTACGACACTTAATTCAAAGTGGGTGGCTCCCCTGCAACCTCCCCTAATAAAGGCCACTGGCCCAACAATTCCTTCCCTCTCCTGATTCACCATTTTCCCCCATCCCACTGGAGGATTTCATGACATTCATGCTGCTATCTCTTATTTTACGAACACTCACCTTGACCACCTTAATCTACCATCTTATTTATCTGCTCCCCTTCACAGCAAAACCCCTCAGAGGGAATTATGTATACTTACTGTCTTCAGCAACCCCTCCCTTGGTCTCTTGCACCAACTTAAGTCAGGCTTTCATTCCCACCATAATAGCTATTGCTGAGAAAAATGTGATCTCCATGCTGTTAAATGCAATGGTTAGGTTTCTGGCTTTATGCTTTTGACTTCGCTGCCGTCTTGAACACAGTGTATAGAAACTTCCTGAAATACTTCCTCAGCTCTGGAATATCCCTCCTGTTCTCTCATGTCTCTAACCAATCTTTCTTGGTCTCCATTGCGAAGTTCCTGGAGTGCCCAGCCCTGAACATTCCCTCTCTAAATGATCTTTTCCAGTGTTGGGACTCTATCCACTGAAACACCCACATTTTTGACTCCAGCTCTAACCTCTTTCCTGAATGCCAGAGTTCTATGTCTAACTTCCTACTTGATATCTTCACTTGGGTGTGTAGTTGTGATCTCCAACTCAACAGGTCCAAAACTAAACTATTTTGCACCCCACCCACCATTCTACTCCCATCACATATGTCCTATGTCAGTAAACAACTCCATTCTTCCAGACCGGAAAATCTTATAGTTACCTTTAAATTTTCTTTTAAATACCACATATAATCCATGGGGGGAGGAGGATTTGTTTTTCCTTGCTTCAGAATATAGCCACAATCCATGGATATATGAGTCCATGCTACATCTTGCCTAGGATGACACTTTTTTTTTTTTTTAAGATTTTATTTATTTGACAGAGATCACAAGTAGGCAGGGAGGCAGGCAGAGAGAGGGGAGGAAGCAGGCTCCTCACTGAGCAGTGAGCCCGATGCAGGGCTCAATCCCAGGACCCTGAGATCATGACCTGAGCCAAAGGCAGAGGCTTAACCCACTGAGCCCACCCAGGTGCCCCAACACTTTTAAAAACATACACAGGTTATGGCACTTTTCTGCTCAGGTCAGTAATGTCTTCCCAACTCCCATTCCTTATACTCTCTCTAAAGCCCTCATAAATCTGACCAATCCTTTGCCCCATCTCCAACAACTACTACCACTTCTCTGACCTCATCTACTGTCTCTCTAGTTCATTTGCTCCAACACACACTGCCCTTGCTTTATCCAGAACATTCTTGAAGAGTGCTCTTGTCTCAGGGTCTTAGCCCTGGCTGCTTCCTCTGTCTGGACATCTCTTCTCCCACACCTCCGCATGACTTGCTCCTCCTTTCCTTTAGGTCCCTACACAAATATTCCTTTACTGTCAGAGACATATACAATCTGTAATTGCTCCCTCATTTTCTGCTTTATTGCTTTTCATAGAGCTTATCAGTATCTACTTTGGTCATTGGCCTAGCTCCAATCCTTTGTAGAACAGCTGACAAATAGTAGATGTATTTATCGGATGAATTAATGAAGGAAGGAAAATAATAACAGTTCTGGCATTGAAAAAAGCTATAGAACTATATGCTCATTTTACTTCAACATCAAAACGATAAGCTGTGTCCAAAGTTCCTATCATAAAAGCACTAGAGTTTGCTTTCATGTAGAGAAC